GCCCACCTACATCAGGAGAGAAGCTGGGAGGGAGAGAGAGCTCGGATGCAAGGACGACTACACAGAGTGAGTGTCTGCCTGGTCCCCCGGGGCTGTCCTGGGAGAAGCTGTATGAAACCCGCCTTGGGACAGTCTGCTCCGGAAGCAAAGGAGTACAAGTGAATCCACTGATTGCTGTGTCCTTTTGGCCTATATTACCTCCAGGGCAGACTCTGCAGGTGGCACGTGTGTGGGTGCTGAGTGGGTCCCCTGGCAGTATCCACAGGAAAGCTCCAGCGTCAAGAGAGAGGCAAGGGCAAGAGGATGTAAAGCGTTGCATGAAGGGTGTTTGTTACAGCGGCGATTTTCAACCGGTGTACGGGAACAGTTTTTTAAATATGCAACACCTGACTCTGTAGTCAGGGGCACTGACCTCTTTTCCCTTAGATTGCCAAGTAAAAAATGACAACAGCCAACACAATAGCCGCCCAGTGTGAATCAAAATTATACCTATTTTTTGTTGTCAGATCAGCAAAAAATATAATGTATTTTTTAGTGTGCCACAGAATTTTAGTAATTAGTTTATATGTGCCATGAGATGAAAAAGGTTCAAAATCACTGTTACAGCAATATAATGGTAAGTGAATAAAGTCCCAAAAGATTATCTACACAGTGTGGCGTTCTTTTCATTTAATTATAAACAACTATCATACTTCTATGTACTTTTTAGGCAATAGGTGTAACTACAATAGAAATATATAGTAAGGAGCGAAGGTATGGTGAATGGAAGATTCAGGAGGCCATTTCTGGAGAGGAGAAATGGGCAGAGGGGACAGGGAAGTATGTGGCCACGGTGAAATGTGGGTTATGTCATGATACTAGCTTCACGTTGACTGCATTATTAAAAATAGGGAGGAAGGAAGGAGGCCTTGCGTGGACCAGCGACCACAGTGTGCGCGCGTCATGAACCGAGGACGATGACTCATCTGTGCAACTGAGGGTCCAATAAAATGTACAAGTTGGTGTACCAACGGTGAGCCCTGGATGCCGAGGAACCCTGGATTCAGGAGCCTGCGGGCCCTCCGCCGGGGACCAAGGGCGGCGCTGCTCCCGCCGGCCGCTAGGGGGCGCGCGCCGCTAGGGGAGGGCGCCG